ACTGCCTCGCTCAGTACCAACATCCAAAAGCTTTTACATCCAGAAACAGGACTCAGTTTCAATCTGAAAGAGAAATCTGTAGCAGAACAGGTATGCCGGTAAGGTTATCAAGCAATGCAAAAATCATACAGGGCTGTGACTCTACAAGCTATAGACAATGGGGAAATTCTTCAGTGAGGGTCCAAAACACCAGAATTTAAATCTCTGTTCACTTTTCTCCATTGCTCAGCTGCTTCAGAGACAGTTTCATGATTACAGTGTTGTAGAGAAAAGAGAAACACTTCTCATCAACAGAAAAGTAGTGTGGGGTATTTTGCGTATTTAAGCAAACATACCCCCTCAAGAAATTATCTTATTTTTCTAAATTGGAACTGCACTCATAACCATTTGAAAAGTACAAATCCAAACACAAGGACTAACCTTGAATTCTCTGAGTAATAAGGCACTTCATGAGCAGCTAATAAAGATTTGTCTTTTAGCTTAATATTAAAAATACCTCACAATGAGGATGGCCCCAAAAATTACACTGTAGTCACTACCATTTTACATGATACTTATGAAGGAACAGATGAGCATTATCAGCAGGGTGGAGAGCAAAAAATGGAAAGACCAACTGCTGATTCTGAGCAACTAAAAGTATACACTGGAAACCAGCAGAGATCTTAGTCAAAATACTTCATCAGCCACTATGCAGGCTGCAGAGAGCTTATTTTAATAATACAGTAACATATTAAAGAGATCTCTACTTTAAAACAATAAAATAAATCAAAATCTAGTATTAAAATTTTATTTTGTAGTACAAAAGTACTTTTAAGACAACACTTGAAACAAAGAACCAGATACTGAAGTGACTCACAACCCAGGAATCAATACCTGTACAGTCTTAGTAATTTTCTTTATTTTGCACTTGGATGAATAAAATTCATGCTGCAGCATGCTTTGCTGCACCTGTGTGGGGATGGCCAAAGTCTACACAAGCATGGCTTATGCAACACAATGAACACGAGACAATGCACTTGAACGCTGAAGTCCATTTTAGATTGCAGCACCTCATCTGCTTTTCAATAGCAGACTCTTTATTTTACATCTGTCTTCTTTTCAATATGAGGTCTTAAGGAGATCATTCTTGCTTCCTTGTCTTCTTCCTTCTTTCCTCTACGCAAATGTGCTGTTTAAGCAGATGGAGAGTCTTAATCATACCTCAGTTATATCCACTGGTAAGCAAAACTGACAAGTGTTTAGAAAATTATCAAATAGGAGAGGCAAAAAACTCCAGATAATTGCTTTCACAGGATTTCAAAATATTATTTAATATTTGCTTTAGAGAAATACATAAATTTTCTGCACAGGGAGTTACAGAGGTGTAAGACATAACTTGGACTATAAACAGTAAGATTCAGTAAGAATTGGCAAGTCTCACTGGTACAAGTCCTGCCAACTAAATGGAGGGAACTCTACACAGCAACTTTCCATTCAACACACTTACAGAAGAAATCTCTGAGACAGCGAATAGGATGGCTGAACTAATTTCACATTAGTCTAAAACTGCACAAGTAAAGCTAAAGGTCTATAACATAACCCAGTTTCTAACTGCTACATCAAAGCCAAGCCCACTGACATAGCAGAAACTATTTCTTGTTTGTAGAATCCCATGCTAGAGGAGGAGTATGTTCTGTGCTAGCATTCATTTCTAAAATTCACAAAAGTATAGTGCACATAAACTGTGACTGCTTAGCCTCACTGAATGTTTAATAAGTTTTTGCTTCATCTTCAAAGAAAAAGTTGGTGTTCATTTTTTCTGATATTTCTAAATTATTAGCAACCCCAGCATGTTTTACAATGGCTGAGGAGGGAATGCTTTGGACCTGAACTGACCTGAGCCAGAAACAATCTGTACTAAATAATAAGCATACTTAATGTCTTGAGCCACCAAAATGCATTCAAAGCTGGGCCAAAATCCATTAATTACACAAAACTAGAAACATACAGATGTCAACACGTGAATAGAACTACCCACTTGAGAAGTGTAAGCATTCTGTGTCTCACTACACATGTGCAGTTCCATTTTTCAGAGAGAAAGTGAGCTACATGGCAAACATACTTAAGTCCCTTCCAAACAAAAATCTTGCTCACAATATTTGAAAGCTCCCAGCTCGCCCACTTCCTGTTTTTCACAGCAGGCATTACAGACAGTCTGTACCATGAGAGTTTCTTCCTCCAGGGCGTATCTCACAGGGAGCACTCCAGCAGGTCTGCAGGCATGTCTAAACTACACAGCAAGTCATGCTGCCAAGAAACCAAAACCAGTTTTAGAACCAGTAAAGCCACCATCAGCTACACCATTTTCAGAATATGAACAACTACCCATGGTACTGCCCTACACTGATAGCAGCTGGTCCACACATTTCTGTGTGGCTCAATCTTATAAAGGAGCTTTGTGTTCCCACAGGATGGCATGCAATTTGTTCAGAATGCTGCCCACCTTCACACTGTAAAAGCAGATACAAAAATAGGTTCAGCTCTTCTGCTGCTTTCCCTTTGCCTATTTTTAAGCTGATGCAGTCCCTGACTTTTAATCACCATTGCTGTTATTGCAGTATCTGTATATTGCTGATTCATACTCTGGTCTCTCCCCAGTCAGAGGCAATCTTTGCTGTGGAAAGTACAGCCCTCAGTTTTCATCTTTGGATATAGACACTCCTGGAAGCAACAAAGGGTGCTTGTACAGAAAGAACATTTTTGAAACATGTGAAGAGCAAGGAGGACATTATATTAATGTTCAGTTTCAGATAGGTCAACTTGCAAGGCAGGTTGCATTGTTACAAGTTCCAGTTAGCAACAGGAATCTTAGTACCTTATTTTCTTCCTTCTATGTTTTTTTCCAGTCTTGCAATTAGACAGAAGACACTAAAAACAGTGCTTGAGTCCTTCATAATGGAGCAAAAACTGAAAGTAAAGCTCACATTTTCTAAAGCCAGAACTTTATTCCAGCATCTTTTCAGGAAGTGTTGTCTCAAAAGCTTAGGAACATGTAGGAAATAGGTTAATCCAAACACTTTTAAGTAATAGCTGTCCAAGACACTGTGAAAACAGACAATCTTTCAACTTAGTATTTCTATCTTTTCCCCAAGATTATAGCAGTTTTATGTAAAACTAACAAATTCTAGCAACACAAGGATTGATTTACAAAATAGCTCTTACAAAGTATTTTCTTCTTATTTTTTGCATACCATAAACAATATTAAGTTTAATTTCAAAAAATGTTTGACATTTGGATCATTTAAGCAACAGTTACTATTACAAGTAGCTGCTTCACTGTACAGGACAAAAAGATTAAATCCCTATTTGACATCCTATCTGAACTTCCCAGATGATTAAATATAAAAAAAGCCAAACACACTTTTTAAGAATAGACTGACAAGAATTACTTAATTTCAAAAAGAAGAAACTACACTGCATAATTTCTGCCTATCACCTAGCATTCAGGCTTTTTTGTTTGTTCCATTTAATGTATGTACATACATTAACATAAACTAAATCAAGACTTAGATTTAATAATGACTAGAAACTAGCAGTCAAGTTCATGTACAAATACCAAAATGACTCTCGGACTCCTCTCCCAGCAACTGCAACTTTTATTAGGTTTTTAGTTCTCAGTTTCAGATTCGAAATGTAGACATATTTCTATTCTAATCTTATAAACAGTTAATTTTCTAAAAAGATAAGGTGTCAAAAATTTAACATAGTTCTTTCCTTCACTGCACTCCCATCTTTCCTACATCTCTCTCAGAAAAAATTCCAAAAGAACAGAACAGCCATCTCTATCTTGACAAGCCAAAAGCAGTTTCTGGAATAATATGCATTAGAACAATGAAGGTAAAGACGAATTAAATGTAAGAAAGCCATAATGAAAACATATTTGCCATCTTATACAAACAGCTGCTGCAAATAAGGGGTTTTGGATCAGCACTCCATTTGTCTGTGGAAAGAGCATACCTACTCCATACCTACTAATTTAACAATCAACTGGGTTCTCCAAAGTAGTTCAGCACTTGAATAATTTAGCATCCTATGTCTATGTAAGAAAGATCAACAGCAATAAAGGAAAATGAGATGCAACTCTTTAATGGTATCATGACACGTTCAGAAAAGAAACGGTCATTCCGTGAAATCAGAAAAATGTCAGGACAGACAACTTTGTAGTCTTTCAGTATACATGTTTAGGTGCAAGACACACTTGAACTTGAATTAATTAATGAAATTTAAGTTTCTATTTTGACTAGTCAAAAGCTATACAAAAGTGTTCAGATAATATTTGTGTATTGCAACATAGTATTAATCCAACTTTTCAACTTGTCGGCATATTTTGCATTAAGGAGATGAAATGTGGTCAGCATAACCACAAGTTTGAGGGTATTTTTAGGCTTGGGGAGGCAGAACAAGATGATGGGGAGACTTTAAAGTACTTGGAAGGGAAGGAGAAATAGCATTCTCAGCTGTTGGGATGATACAGGACTGTACCTCATAATTTCCAACCTCCACCATACTGATCATCACTCCGGAAACAGGAGATCATTTACCTGGAGTAGACCACCTCTGCTCCAATGCAAACACGCATATCACCAAGTAAAAACACTGCCTCTCTCCCACTTCCCCTTGGGTTCCACCAATTACAATTAAAAAACAACAATTAATATATTTCCCGTCCACTCTTATGAAAGCTTTGCAATTCAGTTTAGCAAGTAAAATGTTCAAAAAAGGCACTGAATTACATCTGATGTCTGCCCTGTCAAGAAAATCCAATCATTCTGAAAGCACTCATCCTGCAATCATACTGCTTAATGCCCAGAAAACAGTTTACTTCTTCACCTTCAGATCAGAAAGGATCAGAAGGGGATTTTTAAAAGCATAATTAAGACTGAAAGTATTTGATGACAGTTTGACAGCTCTGAACATTCACCCCAGAAAAACTGAATTACAGGGCTCACTCATACTGTTACCTGTAATTGTGTATCCATATGCAGCCAGCTGTCCAGCCATGTATTCACCATCCGAATTATTGTGAGAACATCCCCATGTACGAATCCAGATTTTCTGAACACCAGGAATAATGCTGTCAAGTAAAAACAAATGAGAAATGCAAGTTAAATGATGAACAGGCTTCCCCTTTAAGTCCACTGAACTGATTGAATGAACTGTAATTCTTAAAACATAAAATAAGCAGTGCAAACAGTAACAACTCCAAAACAGCTGAGGAAAAGCAGTAATTATGTGATTTTAGTGTAACAGGTATTAGGCCTTGCTGGGGCAGAGTAACATAAACCACTATAGGGCTGTGTTTTGTATTTGTGACTGGAACAGTGTTAACACACGGGTGTTTCAGCTGTCATTGAACAGTGGTTGCTTGTTTCCCACTGTGCTCCATCCCGCCACAAGCAGGCTGCAGATGGACAAGAGGTTGGGAGGAACATGAGCAGAATAGCTGACCAACAGGATAATTCATCATGTTCAGCAATAAAAGCTGTGTGTTTGGTCTTTCCAAAATAACCCCTGTTCTGAGACTGGTTGGGTACCAGTCTGCTTGTGGGAGGTGGCAAATGGCTGCTTTTGCATCACTTGGGGCTTTTCCCCGCTCCTTCCTTCACTTTATCTGTCTTCATCTCAACCCACAAGTTTTCTCACTTTTACTCTTCCAGTTCTCTCCCTTGTGGTAGAGTCAGTCCACCACAACTAGCAAGAAAACAAATAGAAAAGTTTCAGCATGGAGAAGGTGCAGGAGCTGTAGGATAACAACAGAATCAGTACATTGCAGTTATGTTAAAGCAACAACAAAAACCCCAACAAAACATGTAAACACAGTAAAAAAATAATACCAAACTTAAATTCCCCAAAGTTCTCAAAATTATCGTATCATGTAACAAGTAACCTTCAAGCAGCAGCACGGAAATTAGGCCACCAGCAAACAAACTGCAACCTTTTGATATTACAGCATGCATTGACTATAGCTCCCTCCACACAAGCCAGCTCTATAAATTAACTTGATGGCCTCCAGCCACACGAACAGCTAAAAGCCCCCATCCCAACCTTTCCAGGCTACAGAAGCAGCATGGCAGACAAGCAGTGTGGAGCTAGCACATACAAGGCTCCAAAAACCAACAAAAAGTTCTGTAAGAAGCTCTCATTGAAATTCCTGGGATAACTGCCAATGAGCTAAAGATGCCAGTACAAGAACACCACACATCCTGGAACACAATACTGCGCCCTGCCTACAGCTTTTTTTCCCCCTCCCTCCCCCTCCACACTTCTTTTTTAACAGACACTTCCCCTAGCTAAAAATAGAAATTTGTTGATGGAACATTAATGATCATTAACTGCAAACACAGGGTATTTAGACTTCCTGCTGTCTAAACAACACATGTTCATGTGCATTCTTGGGTACAAAACACTAAAACACAGCCTGCTAGAGAATATCTAGTACCTGAACGCTTTGGGGCAGGAACTACTTGTGTAAAGTATCTACAGAGCACCAGCTCAGCTGCCCATACATTCCTGGCAGACTTTTGCATTTTTAGGGGCATGTAGATAAAAATGCATTGTTATGCTAATAAAATCTCTTTTGAACACCAGTGAAAACCCAGAATTTTATTTCTCCAGAGGAAATTAAATTTCCATACACAATTTATTTTCATCTTTATCATCTAAGGAAATTTCATCCACCAACTTCAAACCAATGTTTGAAAAAAGAAAAAAAAAAGAAGAAAAAATGCCAGATGTCAAACCTGCAGTAGAAACTATAATCAATAACTGAGTTGACCTATACTCTAATCAATTCCACTGCAGCAGAATGTTGATTCTGTTCTTATGGAAATCACAAGTAGTAAAAATGCAAAGACACATTTCATGCTTACTGCATACTATTTCCACTGAAATAAAAAAGCAAGTTCAAAAGAAATTTTACCATGTCACTTGCAGGATGTACACACAAGAAATACAACCTTTGCAAATCCCAGGATGCAGAAAACAGGTTTAAAGACTGAAGCAAGGATGATGAAAGGAGACTGGGTCAGAGAATACACAATTCAGCACACTGGGCATACACAAGTCCCTGGGCCCTGACAGGATGCACCCACAACAGAGACAGAGATGTACTGGAGACAGTCCAACAAAAGGCCATAAAGATCATGAAGGGACTGGAACATGCCTCATAACAGAAATGGCTCAGAGTGCTGGGACTGTTCTGCCTGGAGAAGGCTCAGGATGATCTCAAAGTACACAAATACTTGAAGGGAGAGTACAAAGAAGGCAGAGCCTCCTTTTTTTCCAGTGCTGTCTAGTGACAGGACCAAAAGCAACAGGCACAAATGAAACATGGGAGGTCCCCTCTGAGCATCAGGAAACACCTTTTTCACTCTAGGAATGACCAAGAACTGGCACAGGTTAACTCATGGAGACTGCAGAATCTCCATCTCTTTGATGGAAAAAAAACTGCCTAGTCAGAGTCCTGCCAACTGGTTCTTTGTGGCAGTGCTCAAGCATTGGGTTTGGAAAAGAGGACCTTCCAACCCCAACCCCTTCCAACCCCATCCCTTTTGCACCTCTCAGGACTTTGTTCCTATTATTCACTTCAGAAGTCAAAAGGCTACTCCAGAACTGCATTTTGAAGAGCTCAGATTGTATTTAGGTAAGTAAGATCAAACAGACAATTTTTCAGAAGTCCTTTACACATAAAAGCGTAACAGAAACCATTTTTCCAGACTGATTATTCCATTAATCAACATCTCAGCGATGACTGATTTCTACAGAAAATGTGTCTAGGAAAAGGAATTTGCTAAGGATTTATTATTTATTCTCTCTACATTCTGTACAGAGTATTTTACTCATGTTTATCTTGTACATAGATTTTACATTAAGATATAACACAAACTTCCACCTTATTTTTAAAATCTGACAATCACATACGAGATACAAGAAAAACACCAACACAGGGTCAATGTAAGACTTTACCTGTCACTTGGGGGCTCATCATCTGTCTGAATGTTTTTCTGGGAGTTCCGTTTTCGCACTTTGGGAAAAACATTCCTTCTCACAAACTGTCGATCGTGTGGCTTCAAATCTTCTGCTGACACGATGTCTTCGATATCCTCAAGCACTGACTCACAGGCAGCAGGCATCTTCAAGAAGTGTTGGGAGAAGATTGGCATTAGGAAAGCATTTGAATACAAAACCAAAGCCTCATACCTACTGCACATTTCTCATAAAGAAAAGTCAGATAAATCTCTAAGCATATGTGCAACATATCACACACATGAGGGATACTAAGCACATGAAAACAATCCACTACCAGAGACACTTCCTGAATGTCCTCTTCCCCCGATACCTCAAACACAGGCAGGGAGGAAGTCACAAACCACACAGATTCCTAAGGGCTTGTCAATAAATCATCTGTACCTTGTCATCTCCTAACTCCAAACCCCTTCATCTCCTCTGACACGACACATTCAAGATACAGGTATTTTTAATCATGTCAGCATCATAATAAAATAGTGTGCTTATGTCATATGATGGATGTACTTCCACTCACATCACGGAAGAAGAACAAAAGACACAGAACACAAGTGACTGCTCCAGAGGCCACTATGGCTCTCTTATTTGTGTGTGGACACTATCCAAATATGTTTCCACAGTCCTTTTGAAAACAAACCAAACTATTCCTAGAATTCCTGATCCCACAAGCTTTTAATCTGAATTACTTAATTGACTGGGACAATAAAATAAAAATTTATGTTCTCAGGTACAGAATGTTAAACAACTATACCTAAATAATAAAAAAACATATACTATAATCTGGCTAGAATAATACATTAAAAGATTGCTAATAACTAATTATATTTTCCACAAGAAACTACATATATATGCATATGTATCTCCCAGCAGATGTAAAAATCCAGATCAGTTTTCATAAATCAAAAAAAGCAACTTGCTAGAAAAGTCCATAAAAAGAGTTACTGCTGTAACTCCTAATTAGAATGAAGTCTGAAGTACCATTGGAAACTCGGGTGTTTTACATAAACCAACAGCCTACTAAGGAAATCATACAAGGGTATTTCAGAGTTACAGGGAAAATACAACAATTTCCTAACTGCAATGAAGAACAAAAAAACAAGGCTTTAATGTATGTAAACTTATACTTCAGTAACCAAAGATTTGCTGCTGGCATAAAAACACTTCCAGATGTTGGAAATTAATTATTGAAGTACATAAGAAGTTAAACACCCATGCATTTTCTCAACATGTGTACTTCAGTCAATCTTGCAAAATATACTTCAAAATAAAACTTCATGTAAGCTGAACCATCACATATCTGCATTTAACTTAAAAAGGAACAGAATGATGTCACAAAGAGCTACTTAGGCAACTAGTATTCTTCTAGGGAAAAAAAAACAGGATCTATACAGTAATGCAGCAAAAAAAACCAAAAATAAACATTTGTGAAAAGTCTAGCAATAAAGAATATGAGGGAAAGGTGACATCTCTTACACTAACTTACACCACTGAGAATATGTACAAATAAAGTTATCAAATCAATATCTGGAAGGGAATAAAAAGTTTATCACTTTTGTCACTTTTTCTCTCTTACAGAAAAATATCCAATATAATGGAGCAGCTGGAAAAACAAATAAGCTTAACTTATTTAAGTAACCCATGGAAGAAAGAATTAAAATTAAAATTCCTACCTTTTTAAGCAAGGTCTAAATCCTTTTGGACAGTAAACCTGGGGGGTGGGGGGTAAGGAGGAGGAAAACGAAAAAAGACATGGCATGAACAAGCAGAACTAGCAGACAGAAAGCCATGAATTCACGTTATTGTCCAAGAAGCACTCATCCTCCCTTTGCAGAAATACATTTCTTGCTCAGTCTGACCTCATGTGGACTGGGTGCACACGCTGGCTGGCTGGCAAGGTGGAAGAGTTCCCACGTTTTCCCTGTCTCCTGGGAACGGGCACTGTTCTTTTTGTCCTTCTTGTATAGAGTTTTTTTTGTCAAAGTCAGATGTATTTAAGTTATCTCAGACTTCCTGCAGATTCTGTCTTCAATCAGTTTAAAATTTTGAATGAAAGAAGGGAGAAAGAGTAACAGTAAATTTTAGTTCAAGTAATTCACAATATTTTTTTAAATTAAAACACTGTGAAGTTATTTTAAAACAGATTACTTGATATCTGCACTAGTTCCATATGCATGCATGAGAACTCCTTCACATGGAAAAAAAAATAAAGACAAATTCCTGCAGCTATTATGTTAGATGGACTGAAATAAGAAGCAGTAACAAAATTAGAAGTTAATGTATTCTTCTCATACAGCCCAGCTGCACCTACAGAACTCTACATTTTTCTTTAAAAATATCTTAGTAAGCAAATAAAAAAATAGAGTTGTTTTAACATCTTGTCACACACAAAACTTCCCTTCTGCCAGTCTAGTTTGGTGACCCCTGCTCAATCTCCTCGCACAAACCAATGGAAAACTTCCATCCAGGTGGCATAGGACCGCCCTTTTCAGCTATTTACCAACAGGTGTCTCCGGTAAGGCCCCGGGATTTTATCCCCGGCCTCAAACAGAGCAGAACACTGCAGCATTAATACACAGTGAGACCGAGTTTAAAGCATAGCATAAGTATGTATGTGTGTGCCTCTACATTTGTACATATCAGAAAACGATGGAATTGCTGGCGTTGCAAGAGACCTCCAGAGCTCATCCAGCCCTGCCACGGCAGGACCACCTGGAGCATGTTACAAGGGAAGGTGCCCACGTGGGTTTTGAACGTGTCAGGAGAGGGAGACGCCACAACCACCCTGGGCAGCTTGTTCCAGTGCTCTGCCACCCTCAATGTAAAGTTCTTCCTGTTAAAGCGAAACTTTCTGCGTTTTAGTTTATGGCCACTGCTCCTCGTCCTGTCACTGGGCGCCTGAAGAGTCTGGCACCACCTCTGAGACATTTATACACATAAAAGAGACCCCCTCTCGGTATTGTCCAGACGAAACAGACCCAGTTCCCGCAGTCTCTCCTCGTATAAATATTCGAACAACACAGACATATAAAAACACACAGACAAGTACGGCCCACGGGCGAGGGGCAGCCCGAACCACGCACATCCCGGAGCCCGGCTGGCTCGGCCCCCAGCCCGCTGAGGGTTCCCCATCCCCGCCGGCCCCATCGGAGATTCCCGCCGGGACGTTCTTCTCCTCCCGAATTTAACGCGGAACCCCGCAAGGCCCCACAGGGGACGGGAGCATCGCGCGGGCAGGAGAAGGGGAGCTCGGCCAGACCGTCAGAGGCAGGCAGCGGAGAGAAGGACGGGAAGGGAATGGGAAGGAGGGCAGGGAAGGCGAGGGAAGGGAATGGGAAGGAGGGCAAGGAAGACCCCGGCACTCACCCGCGCCTCACCCGGCCTCCGCCATCGCGCCCCGCCCCCGGGCCTCGCGCGCGCAGCGGCGCCAGGACGGCGGCCGGCGGGGGCCATAAGAGCACCCAGGGCGCGCCGCTGTCGCTTCGCCACTGAAAGCGCGGACTCCCGGGGCCTTGGAGTCTCACCTTGGTGTTGTTGCGTGTAATTAATATAACTCGCGCCGGTGTGACATGATGTATGTAATATTTGATATTGTTGGAAGCACACACACGTCGGCATTGGGAGTTACCCCCACATATTTGAAAACCGGTCTCTGACAAAACCTCATTTGCAAGCTAATACATGTGGCTCGCCCGGAGATGGGTCATTTCTCGAGGTGATACAGGAACGCCCGGCGATGATCATCCCGGCAACGACCCGAGACTGGGAACCCTCCAGGCTGATCCATCTGAATGCCGTGTTCTAGTAACTACACCAGGGAGATTCATCACTTCCCAGACACCGAATTGTTCAAACTCAGCGCAGAGAAAAGAGACTTTATGAATATGTAGGACTTTGAATGGAAAGAAAAGGCTGATCGCCCCGAAATCCTGGCCTCGAACAAAATATTCCCTAAAAAAACCGCTTGTACCAGGAGGGTGGTGTGTGTGCATAATGGGACCCTCTGCTGAGGCTGTCTACTCTGTGACACACCCAGCACCGATCCAGGACTTGGCACTGTCCTTCTCCTTGTGGCTGGCTCAGAGAGAATTCAATCGCTATAATAAAATTCTGGGCTTTTTTTATTTTTATTTCGGCTGGGTCAATTTTCATTTATAACAATTTTAATTGGAAGATAGCAATTCCAGCAATACATATCCAGTTAAAGTGCTTGCGATCCTGATGTATCTGATCCAAATAGGTGATGAGCTATTCAATCCTCTTCTGGCCACAACGCGCTTTCTTTATTATTATTTGTATTTTTCATCGTTAATTTCCTCAAAATACAAAGCTAGTAGCAACTTTGCTGAATAGTATAAACTATATTGGTCAAAATATTTACTATCAGATGGCTGACGTTTCTTGCACTGTTTTCCTCCAAACTTTTCAGATTGATATTTAGTAGAGCACCAGTGTGGTAGTTGGATGGCTGAAGCTAAAGCTCTGAGCAGATTAAGGATGCAGTGTCCCTGGCGATCAGCGTGTTGTCGAGAGTGAACATACTATGTTTGCTTTGGCTTTAATAGATACAGTTAACCTAAAACAATTATTTATATTGTATCTTTAATAGATTCTGTTTTGAGGTAGTCAGCTTTGGAATGTAAAAGTCACCATTTCCCGTAGTTGCATTTCAAATGATAGGTTTCTCTTTTCAGAAGGAGTCTTTGAAACCGGTTTATTCTTTAAAAAGAATATATAGTATATATAGACTATAATCTTCAAAAGATTATAGTCTCTCTGGAACTGGAGGGAAACTGAATGAAAACCCTGGGTGTACTCCATAATAGGCCTGTTGGTCCACTCACAGATAAAACGTGGCAACTTCTGAGTATCATCTCCCTCTCCTTTTTCTTATAAACTCGTGTTTACTTTATATAATGCTTATCTGACAATGCTCACAGGAAGGAAAAAAAAATATGTGTGGACAAAGGAACAGGAGAGATTTAAAGAGAGAACTGGGACAGAAGGAACTAAGCACTTCACTTAAATCTCTTTAAAAACAGATCATTCTGAGCAGAACTGAGCAGTATTGATATCATCCTACTCTCATGATGGAGTATTGTTGCAGTTGAAGATATATTTGCCTTCCTATTTGGTCTTTGTTGAGGCACACAAGTACTTCCCAAATATGCTTTCAGGGAGACACTGTGTGATGTGTCATTTCTTAGTTTTGGGGCATTTTTAGCCCAGGAGAGAATGGAGGAAAACATTTCAAAATGGATGGCCATGCTGATCTATTTCAGACCACCTCCTATGGAATAAAAAGTCCCTACCAGGTCCATAGTAATGTTACCATCCCCCATCAGCATTTTAACTGCTGCCTCATAAGATCAGCAATTGTTTTCTTTCTTTCTTTTCAGTTTCCCATGTTCAAAGTATTTCACATGCAGTCCTTGAAATCATCTTCTCGCTTCTGGGAGCACTGCACTGCCCTCCCTCACAGCTGTCCCCACCAGCCAAGTGTTTCTGCTCTGGTAAAAACCCAACTGGGCACACACCAGTGCTGGTTTATAGCTGACCAAAAGAGCAAAGCACAGCCTACAAGACATAACCAAAAATCTCCAAATGGCCAACACTGACATACACTACTCATTAAAGGGAGGCAGTGATCTCCAAGAGCAGCTCCCAGGCAGGAATAACCTATGAATCCCATACCTAGTGACATAAATAGGCCACACTGATCAGCTCCAGCATGATCTGGCAGAGCCTTTACTTTGTCCCGCTGCCAAGAACTCATAGTAGCAAGCAGCCCTTGTGCCAGCACAGTCCTGCTGAGTCCTAGGATGTAGCCACAAATTGGAAGGCACTCTCCCAGAGCTTTGGAAGCTCACAAATCTAAATTGTTTCATAGCACATTCTCAGACAGCAGGTAGCACAGCAGAGAGAAGGGAGCAGATAATTCCCTACTACCTCCTGATTGCAGGAAGAAAGTTTATCCATATCTACCTGGGAAAATTGCTTTTTGTGTGACAGTGGCTGGGAGTACAACTTTCAGTGCTGGCCTTCTCTGGCCAGGCAGCATACATGGTCCCTTAAGTATGCAAAGAAGAGCTTTAGATTTCATCATTTGCAAGTTGCCTGCAGATCTTAGTTCCTACTCCTCAGGGCTGGTAGACTCAAGGACACCAGGCTCAGGCTGGGTTACCAACTGAAGTTATAGGTTTTGCCAGGAGTAGGTAGCTGGAAAAAATACAAAACTACTGGGAAAGTAAAATCCAAATCTCAGCTTCAGGTCATGGTTAGCAGAAGATACATCCTTAATGAGTTTAGAGTGTCTCAACAAATATCCTTAGGGAAGGAAAATGGCCAGGGAGGTAAGGGGTCAATTTTTATATGGCAACCTTATTCTCTAATAACTAACATCAGCTCTGGGTGGAAATGGGTGGGAAAGCATTCTGGGAAAAAAAAAAAAAAAAAAAAAAAAAAAAAAAAAAGAGGATTCTTAAAAGAGATTAAAAGAGACACAAGAATTTATATCTTTTTTCCTCTATTTTTGAAATTTAGGAGAATCTGGCTGGTCATTTGTGAGCAACATTCAGCACCACTCAGAACTGGTAACAGTCCATTTTTTCCTGTTATATATATGACACTTTCCCCCGTCAAGTTTTAGAAAGAAAATAGTGGGTAAAGAAACTCCCAGACTTAGTAAAGGTCAAGCATTCTGATCATTGCTTAGCTGTAGAGTAATAGCCAGGCAGATCTTACTTCAGCGTGAAAAGCAGAATGGGGAGATGAATTCTACTTGTTTATGCTTTGGTTAATATCACTCCACTGACTTTGCTATACAGGCTCATGGTTCACTCAGTGTTGAGAATTGTTGGCTGCAGGAACACCAAAGACATTGTGCATTAATTGTGTTTCACACAGGGAAAAAAAATATATATATACTAAATTTGGTGCTTTTAAACATAAAGCTTTCATGCTACAGAAAGCACCTCACATATCTTTCATTCTTTCTACAAGAAATGTTCATGTCTGCAGCAAGACCAAGGTGCAATTTATTCCTTCAGGTATAAGTCAAGAGGAATACAGTGAGTTTCTTGTCATTCATAGGTAGATGAGTTCTTACTGTACAGGAGTGTGAACCTCTTTTTTGTTATTTATTTTTTCAAACTCCTTTCCTGTGTGTAAAGGAATAAATGGTTGCCTATCATTCAGGTCATGTTGACAGATTTTTCCAAAACCTTTTCCATCTGCTGGCAGCCAAAGAATGCAGCACATACAGGCCCCAATAAAACCCCCTTGGAACTCATACTTGTACACTGACTAATGTTGAGATTCACCATTCTAGTCTGGAGGAGCAGGAATAAGTATTTTAACTGGCTGATTTTTTTTTATCCTGCACCTCAGCATACCCCAGGTTCACAAAGCAGATACAGAAAGCAGAAGGAAGGAGAGGGGAAACATGAGGGGAGACATGAAAACTAGTCATCAGTAGCAGATTCTAGGGGCAAATAAAAAAGTGCTTATGGCAACTGGAAAACAGAGAAACTGAGAGCAGGCCAGGGAGGTACAGCAGATATTTATTGCCACCTCTGCTTCGAAGGTACATCAGAGAACACAGACGTCTAGCCCTCAATTATTTATTAGGAATATAGAGAGGACCTTTGTAATCATCCTTTCAGTACTTCTGTGTGCAGATG